GCCCCCCCTCCCCACTGTGTATAGTGTACATTGTATCATAGATTATATTGCTTTTGTGTTTACTACATGTTTAAAAAACATATGGCTTGTTATTTTTGAGCTTTTAAATTAAACAAATCCACTTTATTTTTTAGTTGTAACTGCCCGAGGTTGTTTTCTGGATTACGTGACAGATCTGTTATACTTTATTAACTGTAACTGGTTGGCCAGTGTGGAGCCAGCCGGGAGCTTTCCTTGCTAAATAAATTTAGTCACCAGAGGCAAATCCAGTGCAGCGTGTGCCGCCGAGGGTCCTTTCTCTCCCCGAGCCGGCACGGTGCGAGCCGTGGCGCTGGGCCGGGCACCGCCGTCACCGGGGCTGTGCCAGCTGCCGCCACAGCGGGACGCGGAGCAAGAGCCGACCACGGCTCTGCAGGGTGAATCCTCCAGCCGCAGCCCCTCTGTAAGCACGAGGGCGCGATCCCACCGTCCCCGGCGTGTCCCTCCCTGTCCCCTCTCCCCGCCTGCGGCACCGGAGGGCTCTGGGCTTCGTCCCCCCCCCCCGGCATGGCCGGAGGGACGTGGCCGTCCCGTGGGTCTCAGCTCACTCCGTTTTCACGACCATCTTCTTGACGGCCCGCCGGGACGTGCCGCACTTGCTGTTGATGACGGCGTTGAAGTTGCAGCCGCGGCCGCACATCTTGGTGACGTACTCTGCGGGGCGGAGGGGGACCCGGCCCCGTTCACGGGTGGCACCGTGGCCTTTCCTGACCCACCACCGTGGCTGACGTGGCGCCGGGAGGGGACGAGGGAACCCGTCCCGCTCCCGCCCCGTCCCCTACCTTTGATGGCGTTGACCACGGCCACGGGCAGGCGGAGGGGCCGCTCCATGGTGGTGTTGTTGTGGGCGATGCGCTGCCCCGTGGCCGAGGACCGGGCCAGCGTCTCCCGCGAGAAGAAGTAATCGAGCAGCCGCCGGGTCATGAGCTTGGGCTTGTCGGTGGAGACCTGCGAGAGGTCGTCCAGCTGCGGGTGGGTGATGTAGACCCCCGAGTTGGGGACCAGCTCCAGTTTGGGCCTCCCGTTCTCCTGCGGCAAGGGGGAGAGCTCTCGTCTGGGTCCTGGATGGAGCCTGGGGACCCCCCCGGCTCCATCCCCGGGCTCCCCTGGGGCACCCTGGCCCCCTCCATCCCTTGGGGACCCCCTGGGCCACCTCTCCTGTGCCCTGGGGGAACCCTCTGCTCCAACCACACCGCTGTGCCCAATGGCACCCCGGGAGGCTCGGTAGGACCCCAGGT